CCTACTCAGCACCCTGTGAAAATTCAGAGTTGATTTTCAGGATTATTGCTGTTGCCAAACCCACAAATGTACGGTACCCCATATGGCCGCCCTACCATAGACCTGTTTCCTCCTCCGTGTATAAGCCAAAACCCTATACCATGCTCTACCTACTACGCGGGGGAATCACCTACCCTAAGCTCCAAATCCTACAAACCTTGAACCGCATACCCTAAACCTCTGCTGATAGCTTGTTGCCCAGGCCTGTCAGACCCCAAACCCTAAACCTTAAATAGTAATTTCCATTTTCTTTTCCATTGTTCATCTTACCCTTATATATATCTCCTATATCACCCCTGTAGAAACTCTAGTTTCCAATATCTTTTCCATTATCCCAATATGTTCCCTATGGGTGACCATCTCCAAACCCTAAACCCTAAATCCTAAACCCTAACTTGTCCCCCAAGTAAAGGGAATCTACTGGGAACCCCAAATAGGGAACCCCAAGAATATAGCAGGAATATAATGGAATATAAGGACCCTGGTAGGTATATTCCCTAAACCCTAAACCCTAAATCCTACTGGGGTATATTCTTAAGGTTCCCAGTAGAGTTACCAAGGCCTGTCAGGGTGCAGTGGAAAGCATCTCGGAGCTTCTCGGCGGTAGACGCTCGGCATTGCATGCTTAGGATGTTTAGGGTTTAGGATTTTAGGGTTTAGGGTTTAGGGTTGAAGGTTTAGGATTTAGGGTTTAGGATTTAGGGTTTAGGGCGTCTACCTGCACAGTTGCGCAAGAAGCCATCGAAGCTGGGCTTTCCTCGCTGTGGGACATCACAGGCTACCACCCAAATTACTTCCTGTTAGGGTCTAGGGAAAAATCATCTTCCTGGTTTTGATCTCAAGTAAACATCATGGTGGGCTCGCCGCAGGCGGGGCCTCCCAGGGGCCTACCCATTACGGGTGGACAGGCTGGGTGGGAACGGCCGAAGCAGGCTGGGCGGGAATTTATTGTTTTGGGTTTAGCGCATTAGTATGCAGACTTGCCCACCCCAAGGCCACCCAAACACTACTCACAGCGAACCAAAAAGAGCCAGCCAAACCAAAGCCAGACAAACCAATTTTCTCTTCATTCGCAAATCTCTCCACTGCGCATCGGGACGGGATGTCAGGAAACAATCAAGGATCAGGATGACCAAGAAAAACTTTGGGCTTGGCGATAAACAGTTGCAGAGCCCTCTCAGAGCTCTATCCGCTCCCGGTCGGGTGGGTGGTGCCATAACTTGCAAGTGCGTGTTAGTTGAAATATCTTACCTACATGCTTCAGGCGAAAATTTAGTTTTGCGTTGGGTGACGGTCTGGGCCGAAGGGCCCTTTCACAGTTTTATTCCGCCCCGGGTCACGCGAGCTGCCCGCCATCGTCATAGCTCGATTCCTGGATATTGTCTGCTGAGAAATGGTCTGGGAAAGGCTCGGAACGGCTCAATCGAAAACATTGAGAAACGGCTCGGAAGAGGCTGGAAAACGCTCAGAAACGCTCTGGGAGAGGTTACCCAGAAACGGTCTGGCAAGGGCTCGAAACGCTCGATCGAAAGCTCACGAACCGTCTGGGAGAGGCTCGAAAACGGTCACATTCTCTTGCGCAGCGTCAAATCCTTTCAATGGGCCCGCTGCAGGCGGGCTCCAGGGGCCTCCAGAAACCTCCAGGACCCTCCAGGAGCCTTGAGAGCAGGGGCCTTTAGGGCTTCCACGGCGTCAATGAGCCTCCGGGTGTTGGGTGGGGTTTACGGTTCTCGGCGACCAAGCTACCCCCCTACAGGCCGTCGGCAGGCTCTGCAGCGTAGTGCAGAGCCTACCATGGTCTCGCTAGGGGTTAGGGTTCAGGGTTTATGGTTTAGGGTTCTTAGGGTTTTTAGAGTGTAGGGTTTAGGGAAATAGTCCCCCTTAACTGGATAGAATATGGGGTATGTTGGGATCTTATTATAATGTACCCAAAGCCATATTCTACCTTCTTAAGGGGACTACAGGCTTTAGGGTTCCAGGCCTAAGGTTTACGGTATAGGGTTTAGGGTTTAGGATTTAGGGTTTCAGATTTAGGGTATAGGGTGTCAGTGTACTTGGACCTGGAAGATAGATACTGTTCCAAACTACATGGAATGAGTCGACAAGAGTATCATTCTACATACCATGTGAGGGTTCAGACACTGTTACAGGTCTCAGCATAGATGGTTATTCCACCAAACCCAGAAAACCTAAATCTTATAAACGCTAAATCGTATACAACCTAAACCATCAACAGGCTCGGCATACTGCAGGCAGAGAGAGGGTTCCGCTTGGGGTTTTTCTTTTTTGTTTAGTTCATGCTTTAAGGTTTAGGTCTAGGGTTTCAGGTTGTTTTTGTTGTTGTCGAGGACCTGAAATTGGACTAGGACTAGTACATACAAACAAGTCTTATGGTCTTAGGTGCTACCTCAAATAAATCTCAAAACGATATTGACAATTAATTAGCCCCTTTTAATTTCAGTCCGGGGAGACCAGATTATTGCCATGTATTCATATAGCTTAGGTTTTAGGGCCAGGGTTAACTTAAGCTCTGTAATTCCAGCCCAGTTCTGGGTTTGTGGTGTTCAGGGTTTTGAAGGTTTAGAGCCTTGGGTTCTGAAGGGTTCAGGGTCCAGTTCGGTGTTGGCCGGCACTCGGCAAAAATAGTTTGCATGTAGGGTTGGCGGTCGCAATTCACAAGGGTCTAGTTGGGGTCTAGGGTCTCAAGCGGGTTAGTTTCATTGGGATTTAGGGCAAGGATCGTAAAGGGTTCAGGAAACTGGGTTGCTGTTAAGGAACTTGAATTAAGTTACCGTAATGGGGAAACCCTATTATTTACTATGTATACCCATTATGGTAACTTAATTTAAGTTCCTTAACAGACTTAACAGCAACCCAGGAAATGGTTGTGGTTTGCACTTGAACCCTAAATCCTTAACCTGCGAGGAGCTTGTACGCTGCCAGTCCCAAACTCCATGCACCAGGGTTTAGGGTTGAGGGTTTAGGGTTGAGGGTTTAGGGTATAGCGTTTAGGGTATAGATTATAGGGTTGAGGGTTTAGGGTAGGCCTAAGGCTGCATCTGGTCCAATGCGGGTAGTATCCATAGACTTTATACGGCTCCATGTAGGACTTGCTTGTCTGTTTGAGGTGTAGGGAAATGAATTGAATTCCTAAACCCGAAGTTCTAATCCAAAACCGCAGGCATGCGAGCCCAAGCAACCTAATTCCTGTTGACAACTCCAATAACCTACAGTGTAAGATGGGGTTACAGGCACCTGGGTTAACCAATACAATTAGCATAAAGGTGTGTATAACTAATATGTATATATTCACTTTATTTGAAGGGTCTAAGGTTAGTCTACCCCTTGGGTTTCGGGTCTAAACTCCTTCAAGGGGGCCATGTAGGGGATTACACTGGGTTGAGGGTTTCGGGTCTAAACTCCTTAAAGAGCCTTTTTTGGGGGGATTACATAGGGGACTATTTTTGGGGTCATTAAGGGGCAGACTAGAAGTTGAGACTATGGCTCACATAAACCCTCAACCCTCATGCCCTACCCAAATGATGGAACCCCACCCCCGCTTCCAAATGATGTCATTCTGCCGAATATGTGATGGTACTACTTTTGGAGATTGATCGGTACGGAACAGGGGTTCTGTCTTCGGTCTCACCGCATTCCCTCAGGCTAGGTGGGTCAAAAACTGGTTTCATATCGGGATGTTATAGGGCTTCAGGGATTAGAGCAGCGGAGACTCGAATGGAAAATGACATGGAGACTTAAGATGTAAACTGGAATCGTAAGGAGTTATACGGCGAGTACAGCGGTTGTGGGTAGGGAAGGACCCTACCTATGACCAGGCACTTAACTTCCTAAGTTCAGGCTTTGATTTATCAACATATCTACCTAGCCCTCAGTGGTACCCCTTTTGTCCTGCACGGTAAGCGCAAGACCCAGCTTCCTGGCTTCCAAGGAGTTCGACATGCTCCCGAGGAGGTTTCGTGCTTTCCTCGGTGTGAAGGACAGTCCAAAGCTGTGGGGCTCAGCCCCTGAAACCCTAAACCCAAAGGCCTAAACCATAAACTCATCCTAAACCCTGAGCTCTATGCCCACATAAACCCAAAGTTGCGCCCTAAACCCTAAACCCTCAGTACCAACACTGGACTGGATCAGAGCCCCACGGGCTGCAATAAGGGCATTCGGATTGCACTCGCAAGTCATCGAATTGCCTGCCATCACACCTAGGGCAGACGTAGTAGAAGCAGCAAAGGAAGAAGTAGTAGGAGCCGTACCGGTGGCAGTAGCATTTTAACAGTGATCCTCATCGTAGTGGTAGTAGCAGCAGCAGTAGCAGTAGCAATAGCAGTAGCAGTAGCAGTAGCAGTAGCAGTAGCAGTAGCAGTAGCAGTAGTAGTAGTAGTAGTAGTACTAATAGTAGTAGTAGGAGCAGGAGTAGTAGTAGCAGCAGTAGTAGTAGTCGTAGTAATCGTACTACTAATAGATAGTAAGAGTAACATGCGATTCTCTCAGTACCTGAGCATTTGCAGCTCAAAGACTTGTACAGGCACTGTAGGTCCCAAAGCTTGTCCAAGGGAGTTTAGGACCACAAACCATGTATACCCAGGCTGGGCCCGTAATCCCAAATAGATTTTACCCCACCAAAAAGAGAGAATCACATGAACATCAAATGGAAACCCGGGTTATATAGGGATTTACTGAGCCGGGGTCAAAATTACTGTAGTGGTTCAATGAGTGAAAAAGATGTTCAAACCACTGCAAGAGGATACAAGCCACACTCAACAGCGATACCCCTGAACATACCCTCAAACCTGCAGAATGAATTCCACCATTACCACAAACAAGTCCTCAAAGTAGGATTGTATTATTTTGGGGTCCATATTGATTCATCTTGCTTGCGAGAACTACCATATTCCAAAAATGGTAACTCAGTCCTTTCAATCAATTTCTTGTGACTTGTACAGAAGATGGTGTGCCCCGGCAATGTCAGTGGCACATGCCTGGATTCTGGGTCGGATTGTGTAGCCTACGGGCCTCCCTTGGAGGCCTGTGCTTGCCAGAAAGGATTTGCGGCCGAAACTGTCGCCTACTACGACCTCGACATCTTTGGCGTGTTTCATTTTCAATGCTGTCCTGGTGCTGCCGCGGCTGGTTGTGATCCGCCAGCACGCCATCAACAGCAAGTACAAGTCATGCTGACTGTAGGTGTTGTTTTCGTTTGTGTAGGTGTGATTGGAGCGCTGCTGTGCAGCTTGGCCCTTCGCATTCAGAGGAGGCCTCTTTCAATGAAACCGGAAGATGAACAACTTCTTGCGCCGAGGCGGCTGGGAGGCAAACAATAATTCAGTAGAGTCCGGCGTAGAATGCCTCCACAGTAAATCCTTATATCATCCACGTGTTCATGTCCATTGTTGGGGGCACCTCTTGCGCCAAGGCCGCAGGGAGACGGATCTGCAATGCATCAGGAAGTGCCAATGCATAAATGGTGTGTGTGTTTGGAAGATCTTCGCCAGTTCCGCCGACTCATCATGCATGGAGTTGCTCGCGGAATAATCCGACCAACCTTGCGAGACCAGTTCGACATCTCCGACTTGGTTATTGGGCCATCAGTCTCTAGGTAGGCACCTGAAATATTTGATAGTTTCTCTAATGGCTTTAATAAGGGACCCTATATACTAACATTTTTCAAAGGTTTTTAGGTGCCAACCCAGGTCTACACCGTCAATGACCAGTTCATAAGGCCTATGACTGATCTAGCTGGAAAGATGCTTACTCAGCCAATAGAAGAACTGTAAACTTGTTGGGCTTCCTTTTTTGGGTCTCCAGAATAAAGTTTAGACTTTTAAAGTTTAAGTCCTGGTTATTGGCCTAAACCCTAAACCCCCTAAACCCTAAACCCCTAAACCCTTTAAACCCATTATAGTAGTTTCCATTTTCTTTTCCATTATCCCCTATATAGCCCCTAAACCCTAAACCCGAGGATGAGCTGGGCCTTGCTGAAGAATCCCGACGGTATGGACTGTGACTGGGTTGCTGTTAAGGAACTTAATTTAAGTTACTATATTGGGGAAACCTTACTATTTACTCTATATACCCATTATGGTAACTTAATTTAGGTTCCTTAACAGCAACCCAGGTGATGTTTACGTCACGCACTGCTGGGCAGAGGGCACCTGGGCCCTTGTAAAACAGGGTTCAGGGGGATTTAGGGTTTAGGGTTTAGGGTTCAGGGGGGTTTAGGGTTCAGGGGGCTTAGGGTTTGGAGTTTACAGGGTTTAGGGCTTAGGGGGATTGTATTTCAACAAGAACCCAGGCATCTATGAGTTCCTGGATCGGCTGGAGTACTCCTGGCCTGCAAATGCAAAAGCTGCATATGTATCTGGGAAACCCAAGAGTACCCCTTTTTCCAACCCTTATCCCTAAACCCTATTTGTTTATCCTGGGGTCTCCTTATCAAAGCTGGGCATGAGGAGAAAGGGCACCCTTCATGGCTTTTGGGGATTGGTCTTAGGGTTTAGGATTACTGGGGAACCTAGGTATGCTTCTTGTCGAACCCGCAGAACTTGCACATCTCCAGCCTCTGGGATTGCAGTTGCACAGCATGTTGAAGTTGCTAGCACGTGGTTTAGGGTCTATAGTCCACTTCAAGTAGATAGAATATGGGGTATATGGGGATCTTGTGATAGCATACCCAAAGCCATATTCTACCTACTAAGGGGGACTGTAGGGTTTAGGGGTAGGTTACACAAATCAGGGCAGCCGAATATCCCGAAATCCTAAACCTTGTTATGCCCCAAATGGAATCCCCAGCTCAGGAAACCGACATGTCTGCCTGAAGCCCATATCAAAGAAGAATCCGCCGTAGGGAACCAAAGAGCCCAAAGAAGGGGTTAAGGCTTTCAGGCTTAGGGCTTCGAAAATAAGTAGTAGACCCATGGTGGGTATAATCTATAGACATGGACCCTGGAGAAATTCTTAGCCCTAAGCCCTACAAACCCTAAACCATCCAAAGCCCTTTCAAGGCTTGATCTCAAGTCCAAGCGAGTCACCGTTTGCTTTGGCGCTACGATCAGCATCTACCCTGCTCGTCCTCCCGAATCAACAAGTGACCGGGTTGCTGGGGTTAGGGCTTATAAGGTTAAGGATTTAGGGTTTAGGGCTTGGGGCTCAGGATTTAGGATTTAGGGCTGAGGCTTCAGCATTTAGGGCTTGGGGTTCAGGATGTAGGGTTAAAAGTTCAGGATTTAGATGGATTTAGGATTTAGCGTGTATGGGTTAAGCAACTTCAACTAAGTTACCATGATAGAGTCCTAAATCCCTGGACCCCCAAGATACTGGCCCTGCTGGCTCTTTAAACCCTGAACCCTAAGCCCTACACATTAAACCCAAGCCCTAGGCCAGTATTTTGCCTACTGTAGTTAGTGGTATGGTCTCACTCAAATCTTACGCCCTCAACCCTTGAATCCCTAAACCGCGAAGCCCAAGCCCTCAGACCCTTAACCCAGGTGAGCCATAGCCTAAACTCCGAGTATCCCCTTAATTGTCCCCATAATATTCCCTATATAATCACACTTAAGGAGTTAGACCCTAAACCCTATATAACCTTTCTTGAAGGAGTTTAGACCCTTAGCCCAGGTGAGCATTTACACCCGACTTTGGTGTGTCTATGAAGCCTTCCTCGCTTACTCGTGGAACAAGGCTGGCAAAATTATGGCACACGGTTTCGGGTTTTGGGCTTAGGATTTTTCAGGCCCACCAGAGCTCCAAATGGTGGCCTTTCTCGAGACAGTCCCAAATTGGCCCTAAGCCCTAAACCCTAATTGTCAGCCAGACAAGGTCATTAAGACTGCTGGCCGCGGCCACGACGCATTGTGGTTCCACGTGGTTCGGATGATGTGCGTGTTTCTTACCGGTGCAGGTGGACTATGGGTAGTGTGGATGGGGGGCGGAAGCTCCATGCTATTCCAGTACAAGCTCTTCTTCTTGGCTCCCATGGGCCTTGTAGTCGTAGCTATTGGCCTGTTTGTGCCGGCCTTCTTTCTGCGGTGGCCAGCAGTCCTTCAGGAATCAGCGCTTGCCATAACCTGCTTTGGCATGGCAATGTTCAGCACCGAAGTCAAGACCTCACAGTTTATGCGTGCAACTTCCCACATCGAAAGAGCCTGGTATGTCCTGCATTGGCTCGTGTTTCTGGTTTTGGCTGGAATTTTCAAAGCTGATTGGGTCCGATTGCAGGATGCACGACAGCGTTCTGGAATGCTCCGCAACAAGTTCACGGGCAGTTTATTGGATGCCAAGTGTTCGTCTGACGAAGACACAACAAACATCCATCGCGAATTGTTTGAAAGTGGCAACTTGCACGAGGTGGAAGTGGCTGTCAACACTCTGCTGCGCGTGAATTTCCTGACCCCAGAGCTCGTGAGTGCGGCAGATGAGGTCGGTGAGATTGGGGACAATTCCATCTGCCCACGTGCCGGGCCGTTGCTCGCGTTAAACCTCTGGCTATTTCCTTCTATGGAGGCTCTTTTCTTTCCCTTCTTTGAGGGTCTTCTCATTGAGCAGATTCTACTTATTCTCACAGTGATAGAGGGAATCTGCTGGCTCCTGGTGTTCCTGTACTCGCCTCCAGATAGGCGAGTCTTTTCCATATACGTTGTGCAACTTTGGATTGGGGCTCATTGTGCAGTAGTCGGTCTTCAATTCGTCCTTCCCACCTACATGATCTCAGAAATGTTGCTGTGGTATCCCCGATTTGGAGCCTTCTTTCTGGGCCCATTCTGCCTGTTCATTTTGATCGCTGGGCCCGTACGCGTGGCTCGCGTTCCCGTAGTTGGGCACTCGCTGGTTCGACGGTCACTTGGAGGACGCACGTGCTCTCGGAGATATGACTGCAAAGAAAGCGAGGCCAGCAAACGTGAATCCTTGCCAGGAATGGCGCGTGTGTGGTCAGAAACATGACCGCAAAGAAAGCGTAGCTGCCAGCAATGGTGGATCTTTGCCAGGCACGGCCGAGCCATGCCAAGCATCGGCTCGGCGTTGTCGATCTTTGATATAGAAAATTAGCTGTAGCAACTCTACGCTGATTATGCCCTCATAGCCCTCAATTAATTACAGGCAAACGTACTCCACAACTCTATTCAAATGATTTCGGCTTTGCTGTCCCGTAGCGGCGGTCGAATGAGCCGGGCGATGGTTGTAACCGATGTGGCCTGGCCGTAATCAGTGCACAGCAGCGTGCCAGGAATAATTTCCTCAAGGGTTTAGGGATTACCCTTCAAATCCTCAAGCCTCAGGGTTTAGAGTTTATGGTTTAGGGGTGCAAGAATACAAAAATGGTACCAATAATATCCAGTAGTGGAGAATCAAATGCAAACAAACGTGGAAAATGAAATGGAAGCCGAGGTTATAGAGGGGCTAGATAGGGTTCCAAGTACACAAATAATACCTACATTGGGCCCTAAAGTCTGCAAATATTACCTGTTTGGATCTCTAGGGTTAGGGTTTAGGGTGTATTTAACCCCTTAACAAGAATACATACCCCTCCCCCCAATATAGCTTTGGGCAATATTCATTATATAGGGGAGGTGGGGTGAAGTGTAAAGAGGCAAGAGGCTAAATTGATATGGCTTTGGCGTATGATTAAGTCTTATGAGGGTCGACTCTGGCATTTCCCAAATCTGCTGTGCCTGATGACTGAAGGCCAAATAAGTACTTGGGCTCCTTGGGCCACCCGTGCCTCTTGGAGTCCAGACACGCGGAGGTCAGAGTTGAGCACCTCCAGGTGGAAAACAGAGTTGGGTATTTGTAATTTGTATGACTTTGGTTGGACCCCACCCACTAATAGTGGTATATCAGGAAACTATGAAGACCTTAATGAATTACCATTACCTCTTGTGGTCACTAGTAGTGGGTGGGGGCCCAACCTAATGTATGACCCTTAATCTCTGTTGAATCCGTCTTTTGCCATCAGGTTCATTTTGGTAGGGCCCCGCAAAGCTACCCTAGATTAGGGGGAGGGGATTTAGCAGGACGGCTTCGACCTGTCTTGGGTGGTTCTTTCAAACCCTAAACCCTAAACCCCAAAAGATAGGGTTTAGGATGTGGGGCCATGCGCGTCAAGCTAGGCCCTATAAAGTCCCAACCCAACCCCCTGAAAGGATCTATAGAAAGTAGATCACTCTAAGGTCTCTTAGAAGTTGCCCAGTATATTGTTTGAAATACCTGGAAGTGGCTTCACTAGCCTAAACCCTAAACCCTAACCGGTTCAGAGGATTCCGCGGACCATGAGAACTTGCATGTTCCAAGCCATTCTGGGCTTCAAAGTCTGCGTTTCAAATCAGAACTTCCCCATCCCTGAGGGTTTAGGGTTTAGGGTTTAAGGTTTAGGGTTTAGGGTTTAGGGGTGTTTTAGGGTTTAGGGTTTAGGGTGGAGGGTCGGGGGACTTGGGAAGTATACCAAAGAGAACGATATAAGTCAGATGATAACCCCAGCTTCACCCATTACCGACCAACTTGCTTAGTCCCCCCAACTCCAACCCTGACCCACTAAGTTGGATCTCCCAGGCCTCCCACCCCAAGGACATATATGTAGGGTTATGTAGGTGTATATAGGGTTATATACGGTTATATACGGTTATGTGGGGTTCTTAGGGGGTATATATTGGGACTATATAGGGATAATGGAAAAGAACATGGAAACTATTACAAATGGCCCCAAGGACCAATCCTGCGAACCTAGACACCCTAAACCTTAAACCCTAAACCCTACATAGCAATTTCCATTTTATTCTCTCTT